TTAACAATAGAAGAATGAGTAATTAAGGATCTACAGAGAATGAAATTGATGACTATCATTTTGTGTTTTTGATTTTTTTTATATGATGTGGTTTTGTCCTCGCAGCTTTAACAGTCTATACTCTGAGCTCTCTATTCCCTGGAAAATTTGCCAACAAATGGTACCTCACAACCAAGCCTTTCTATGTGCTAAAGATCCTTGTATTTCTGACAAATTACCTGCAAAGGGCAAACCCTTCTTTGATATTCTATCTACATTTGTTTATTTTTCTTTTATTGCACTACCCATAGGTCTTAATCATAAAGTGACAGTACAAATGGTTTCTTTTTAAAATGCCTTATATTCAGTACAGAAATATTAATAGGGCACTACAAGGAATCACTTGTCTTGTCAAAGGATTGTTTTATTACTTGGAACCATATAAGATACTCGATGATAAACATACCTTTTGCTTTGTGATTTGGTACCTGAGTTTTAATTCAGGCAACTACCACTCTCCTGATATAAATTATATGGAGTAAGTAGCATTTTAAGCCACAAATGTCCTTTGTTACTTAGGTTTCATTTAACCTGTCTCTCTTCCATGTCCTGGTGCCCTGAGAATAAGTAACTCCTTTTCTCAAGGATGAAATGGAGAGTTTTGTGGCCCAAACTAAGGCCCATCAGTCTCCTGAGCTCTCAAATTTCAGACCCACACAAGATCAGATATTCAGTGTTCGACATGCTCCTTTTTAAATGCACTCTTCTTCAAAAGTTATTATGTAAAATAGTTCCTGGTCAAGGATCTGCAAGGAATCAAACTGGTGAGTTTGGATTTGGTTTTCATTTTCTGCCCTCCCAGCTCTAACAATCTGTACTTTTTTCTTCCTGGAAAATTCTCCCGTGAATGGCACCTCCCAGTCTAGATCTTTGATGTGCTAAGAATCCCCAGAGGATCCCTCTGATACTTTACATTCTAAGAGCAGACCCTCCTATGATATTATCTCTACATATTGGTTTATTTTTCCCTTATTGCACTGCCCATAGGTCTTAGTCATAAAACTGCAGCACAAATGGCCTCTCTTTTGAAGTTCCTTTACTTAATACCTTATGGAATTGAGTCCACATACTTGATCCATACCCAGGAATATCAATATAACTGGAATAGCATTAGATATATCACTAGAAGCCCAACCGTATCAGGGCACTACAAGGAATCACTTGTCGGAAGATCGTTTTTACTTCTCAGAGACATGTAAGGTCTTTGATGATAAACTTACATGTTTAGCTGTGAGGTCTGATATCTGCATTTCAATTCAGACAATCACTGCATTCCTGAGATATGTTCTACAGAAATAATGATAGCATTTCAAGCCACAAATATAATTTCTAAGGTTCTAATTATCTTGTCTCTCTCCATGCCTTGTTGACCTGAGAATATAAAGTAACTCGTTCTCAAAGATGCCATTGACCATTCTAAGGCCCCTTCCAGCTCTGAAAATCTAGGTTCTATGCCACTTCCTACTTCCAAACCCCAAATTCAACATTCTAATGTACTAAGATCCCACTGACTCAAACTATTTTAGTTCCCTGGCACTGTCCATCCCCCACTTTCTCTCTTCAAAAATCTTCCTTCTCTGTCATATTCCAGGTTCCAGATCAGGGGTGGGGAACCTGTGGCCTCGAGGTCACATGTGGCCTTCTAGGTCCTTGAGCGCAGCCTTTTAACTGAGTCCAAGTTTGACAGAACAAATAATTTTATGAAGGGGATTTGTTCTGTGAAGTTTGGATTCAGTCAAAGAGCTGCACGTGAGGATCTGGAAGGACACATGTGGCCTTGGGGCCACAGGTTCCTCACCCCTATTCTAGATCTCATCTAGATCCCACAGTCTGGATTCTAAATTTCTTCCAAGATTTCACTGGAATGTCTATTAACCTGTCTGTCTCTATTCACTGGCCAGGTGAGAATAATTTTTTAAAAACCCTATGATTTCAAGGATGATATTGAGAGTCCTGTGGCCCATCCCGCCTCTGAAAATGCAAGTTCTTTTGCCATTTACCTAATTTCATTCCCCTCAGAGATCAGACATTCAGCAGTCAATGTGCTCCCTTTTAATTGCACTATTCTTCAAAAGTTATTGCAGGCAATAAATATTCCCTAGTGATTACCATTAGCAGTCTTAAGTAATCAAAGGAATCAAACTGATGACTTTTTTTGTTTGTCTAACCTGATTAGTATACTAGAAGGAATCACTTGTTTTTATTTCTTAGAGCCATATGAGGTACTCAATTACAAACTTAATTTTTTGGTTGTTGTTTGGGACTTAAGTTTTTATTCAAACAATCACCACTCTTTTGATATAAATTATATGGAAATGAAGGTACATTTCAAGTCTCAAATATCACTTCTTGCTAGGCTTTCAATTATCTTGTCTCTCTCCATGTTCTCAAGGATGCTACTGGGCATTCTAAGGCTCCTCCTAGCTCTGAAAATCTAGGTTCTATGGCACCTCCTAGCTCTGTTCTTTCAGAATAGTTCCAAACAAGAAATTCAGCATTCTATGGGGTTCTCTTGCTCAGAAGATACCTTCCTGCCAAGTGCTCTCCTACCTCTCACATTCTCTTCTATGGCTATCCTCAGGTTTCAGAGTCTACCTTCTAAGGTCCTACTGGCTCAAACTATTTTTGTTCTATGGCTCTGTTTTTCTGCCACTTTCTTTCTGTGACATTCCCTCCTAACTTTCATACTCCAGGTTCTACAGGTCATCCAGATCCCACAATTAAGATTCTCAATTTCTTCCAGGATCTTAATGGAGTTCCAATTAACCTTGCTCTATTGCTTAGCCTTCTGAGAACATAAAAATACACATGTCAAGGGTGAAATTAAGATTTCTCAGGCTGATTCTGGCTAAATTCTATCGTCCCTCTTACCTCTGAAATTTCAGACACCTCCTATATTCAGCATTCGATATGTCCCTTTTTAAAGGAACTGTATTTCAAAATGTATTGTAGGCAATAAATGTTCCCTAGCCATTGCCAATACCAGTACTGAGGAATTAACAATCTGCATGGAATGAAACTGTTGACCATTATTTTGTGGGTTTGATTTTGTTTTTTTAAGATGCATTTCTGCTCTCCCAGCTCTAATAGTCTGTTCTCTAAGCTGTCTCCTCCCTGGAAAATTCTGGCATGAATGATACCTCCCAGTCCAGACTTTCTGTGTCTGGTCTGCTAAGGACCCCCATAGTTTTGTCACTGTATGTTCCAAGGCATCCAATGATGCTTTCTGTATTTCAAAGTTTATTTTTCTCTTATTGGATTGCCCATGGTCTTAACTGTAAAGTGACAGCATATACTGTCTCTCTTTGAAATACTATCTTGTACTTAAAACCTTCTGGTAATGAGTAAGTGATCTTGATCCATTCTGAATAATAGGAATATTAATAGTAGTCTGATCAGTACCTGATTAGTACACAAAAAGTAATCACTTCTCTTGTGGGATCTGATTTTTTACTTCTTGGAGCCATATAAGGTACTTGATTATAAGTGTGTTGTTCAGGACCTGAGTTTTAATTAAGACAATCACCACTCTCCTGATATAAATGATATGGAAATAAAGGTAGCATTTCAAGCCACAAATATCATTTGTTACTAGGGTTTCAATTAACCTGACTCTCAGAATATCCTGATAGCCTGAGAACGTAAAAAACCCATTTTCTCAAAGATGCCATTGAGAGTTCTGAGGCCCATTCCAGCTCTGAAAATCTGGGTTCTGTGGCACTTCCTAGCTCTGTTCTCTCAGAACAGTTCCAAACTAGAAATTCAGAATTCTCTGGGATCTCCTGATGTTATCTCTTGTTCTAGGTCTCCATCCTCCTTACCCCTTTAGTCTCCCTCTCCCTCACTGCCTCTCATATTCTGTTATCTATGTCTTCCCTCAAGTACCAGAGTCTATGCACTAAGTTCCCATTGGCCCGGAGTATTTTAGTTCCCTGGCACTGTCCATCTCCCACTTTCTGTCTTTGACATTTTTTCCTCCTTCATATATTTATGGTTCTAGAGCTCATCAAGATCCCGTAGTCTGGATTATAAATTTCTTCCAAGATCTCACTGGAATTTTTACTAACCCGTCTCTCTCTCTCTATCCATTGGTCAGCTGAGAATAAAACAAAACAAAACAAAAATAAAACAAACAAAAACATGTTTTCAAGGAAGCCATTGAAAGTTCTATCGCTCATACTGCCTCTGAAAATGCAAGCTATCACCCCCTTAGCTCTCTAGTTTCATTCCCCACAGAGATCAGACATTCAGCAGTCAATGTGCTCCCTTTTAATTCACTGTCCTTCAAAAGTTATTGTGGGCAATAAAGATTCTCTAGTCATTACCATTTGCAATCTTAAGTAATTAAGGAACTGAAAAAAATCCAATTGATGACCATTTGATTTTGTTTATCTAACCTGATTAGCGTACTACAAGGAATGGCTTGTCCTGGGGGATTGTTTTTATTTCTTAGTGCCATGTAAGGTACTGGATTATAAATTTATACCTTTGGCTGTAGTGTTCTTCAGGACCTGAGCTTTAATTCAGACCAACACCATTCTCTGGATATGGATATGGAAATAAAGGTAGCATTTCAAGCCACAAATATTATTTCTTATTAGGGTTTCAATTATCCTCTCTCTCTCCATGCCTTGTCAACCACAGAACATAAATAAAATATCCCATGTTCTCAAGACTGCAATGTAGTGTTCCAAGATCCCTTCCAGTTCATAAAATCTAGGTTCTATGGTACCTCCTAGCTCTGTTCTTTCAGAACAGTTCCAAACCAGAAATTCAACATTTCATGTACTATCCTGATATCATATCCTTTGTTCTAGATGCCCTCTTGGCTCTCACATTCCCTTCTCTATGGCTACTTTTGGATCCCCTCATCTACCTACTAAGGTCCCACTGGCTTACACTATTTTCTTTTCTATGGCTCTGTCCATCTCCCCCTTGTTGTTTTCTAAAGTCCCTCCTACCTCTTATATTACCAGTTCCAGGGTTCATCCAGATCCGGCAGTCTGGATTCTAAATTTCTTCCAAGCTCTTACTGGAGTTCCAATTACCCTGTCTCTCTCTCTATTCCTCGGCCCCCTGAGAACATAAAAAAAAAAAACTGATCTTCTCAAGGAATCCACTGAGAGTTCTTAGACACCTTCCAGATCTGAAAATGCTGGTTCTATATAAGCTTTGTTCTTTCAGAACCCTCTCACACCAGAAATTCAGACCTCATTGACTGGCTCTGTCAAATGGCTCTGTCCATCCCCCTTCTACCTCTCATAATACAGGTTTTTTGGTCCCTATTGAGATCTGGCAGCCTGGATTATAAATTTCTTTCAAGCTTAGGTATTTTATATTATAATACCCTCTCTGATCTGATATTTTGTCTTCAATGTCCACTCCTATTTACAACATTCAAGGTTCAGAATGCCTTCCTTTTTCTGAAATCTTCTTCTCTGTCCCCACCACTCTTCTCCCTTGAAAGGCTATGACTTTCTATGTGCTAAGAACCCTAATAGTCCTGACATTCTATGTTCTATGGCCCATCTTGCTCTAAAATTCGAGTTTTTTCATCTGTTTATTTTTGTCTTTTCATACTACAAATGTGTTTTAGCAATATGATGATTGAAAAGCACCAATGTTGTGTTTTTTAAATACACTGCATTTTACAATTACTATTTCACTATTAAATATATACTCCCTATTACCAATAGCAGTATTAAGTAATTAAGGAACTGCATTTAATCAAATCAATGCCCTCCTTTTTTAAAAGCAGTTATATCAGTATTACCTGATCAAGGCCCTAGCACTTCTTTTGTCAGGGGATTTTTATTTCTTAGAGCCATATAAGGCTCCAAGATTTTAAACTTATACCTTTGGCTATGTTCTCTAGGGCCTAAATTTTAATTCTGACAGTTACTACTGTACTGATATGTTATTCAGAAATAAGTCTTCCATTTAAGCCACAAATCCTTTGTTACTGGGTTTTCAGCCCAGCTATCTCTCTCCGTTCCTTGGCCTTCTAAGGCCATCAAAAAACTCATCTTCTCAAAGGTTACATTGAGATCTCTACCTCCAGTGCTAGAGTCCTCTCTCATCTCCAACATTTTGTTTTTTATTTTTTTAAAGGCACCTCCCAGATGAGACATTCTGTGTACTTTGGCTACTTCCTGGTCTGATAATCTGTTTGTTGTGCTCCCATTGGCCACAACAATTTGTGTTCTCAGCTTCTTTCCATCTCTCACTTTCTGGATTCTGAGGCCCCTTCCAGCTTGGATATTATCTATACCACTTACCCTTCTCTATCTATTATCTATCTTGGCTTCATTTTTCCCTCCTAGATTTCCTTAGCCAGCTCTAAGAATCTGTATTCTAATGTCTTTTCCATCACCAACAATTTTCCTTGAATGGCATCTCCCAGGCAAGATAATCTATGTCATAATGACCCTCTCAGTTCTGACAATCCATGTTCTATATCACCATCCTTCTCTTAAATTTGGATTTTTTTCTTTTCATTTTGAAATTTGTTTTTATCTAAATATCTTGGCAGTGGGATTATTTAAAAGCAATTTGTTTTTTGGTTTTAAGTACACAGTACTTAACACATTATGGAAATCAATAAATATTTCCCGTACGTTATGAAAAGTAGTCATTTCAATCGCAATCTTAACACATCAAAAATTGCATGTAATCATTTTTTGCCTTTATTTTCAAGCCACATAAGACTGTATTTTCATCATTCCTTTTTAGCTATCTGGTTCAAGATCTGAGTTTTAATTCAATGCATCACCTCGATCCTAATATAAACTATGTTTAAATAAATATTCCATTTTATAACATAAATAAACTATGATATTCTTTTATAAATTAACCTGTCCCTCCCTCCTACCTTTGGCCACTGAAGACAAAAAAATACCTCCTTCACAGCTCTATTGTGTGCTCTAAGGTGCCTGTCAGTTCAGAAGAGCTATAAGGTTCAAGGCAGTCTAGGCATTCTGTGATTTTTGAGGCCACATCTACTTCTGAAGTTCTGTATTTTAATATAGTTTGTCAGTATTTTAATATTTAACCTGTGCTTCTCAATAACTAGGCCCACTGAGCACATTTAAAAAAAAAAAAAACAAAACTCTGCATCCCAGCCATGGTACTGTGGGCTTTGGAGATCTGAAGACTTATGTCCTAAAGACCATCCCATCTGTGACATTCTGTGACATCCAGGCCACTCTTACTTTTAACATCCTCTCTGCTGCTAGCTCTGATTTCCCTTTTTCTCCATGCCCTACTGGTTCTGACGTTCTCCACCCTATGCCTATTCCCAGGCCTGATATTGTCTGTGCTAAGGTCCTTAGACTCTGACAATATGTGTTCTCAGACTCTTATCATCTCCTACTTTCTGTGTTATAGGGTCCCCTGAACACCCACCTCTGATATTCCAGGTTCTAGAGCCTCACCCAGCTCAGACATTCTGGATTCAAACCTGCCTCCCAGCTCACAGATGCTTCCTTCTAAATTCTCTCCCAGCTCTGCTATTCTGGCCTCTCTCTGGGTGCCCCCTGCCTATATCGCCATTCCTGAGGCAGGACTGCCCTCCAGTGCTCACATTCACTACTCTAAGCTCTCTCTCACCTTTAACTTTCTCTTTGGAAACACACCTCTCAGCCTAGGCATCTATGATCTAAGGCCATATACTCTAGGAATTTTTTCCTATTAATTTCTTAATATTTATTTTATTACTATATATATGTATGTGCATATAGATATACATATATAAGTTTTAGCAACACAGTAATGTAAAAAGACAAATGGCTTCCCTTTTAAAACCTATGTACTTAATACCTTATTGTTCTCAACAAAGACTTGTCATTCATTACCAATAATAGTAATATTAATCGCAGTCTTACCAGATCAAGGCACTTCTGCAATTACTTTTTTGCCCGTTTTTTTTCTTTTGTGGAACAAAATAAGGCACTTCATTTTCACCAATCCCCTTTGGCTGTATTGGTTCAGTCCCTGAGTTTGAATACAGAGCTGCACCACTGCACTGAAATAAATCGTATGAAAATTAATTTTGCAAATGATACCACAAATATAATGTTTTATTATTTTAAAATTTTACTTGTACTTCTCAATACATAGACTTATAGAACACATTAAAAAAAATATTTCTTCCCCTCTATGATATTGTTTGTTCTGAAGTTCATCATAGATCTGAACATCTACATTATAAAGGCCATCCCATCTCTGACATTTTGTGTTTTAAGGGCTTTCTTAGCTCTGAGGTCCTTTCTTCAAAGTGTCCTAGAGGTTCTTAACATTCTCCCCTTGACACAACTCTCAGGCCTGACAACATCTGGAGTGCTATGGTCACCTGGGCTCTGACAATCTGTATTCTCACACTCTGACCATCTCCTACTTTCTTTGTTATAAGGGTCCCTCAGTCTCCTCCACCTTGACATTCCAGGTTCTAGGGCCCCATCCAGCCCTAGCATTCTGGATTCTAAGATAGTTTCCAAATCAGAATGGCTATGTTCTAAAGATTCTCCTAGAACTGATATTCTGACTTCCATGGTTACTGCCTATTCTACCATTCAGAGCCCAGAGCCCTCCCAGCACACAAATTCTGTTCTAAGTTCTCTCTTACATTTAACATTTTGTGTTGACAGGCACCTCCCAGCCTAGACATCCGAGGTTCTAAGGACCCTCCCAGCACTGTCATTCTTTCTGCTGAGGCCCCATTCATTTCTGATATTCAAAGCTTTTCTTTTTCATTTGCTTTTATTATATTCCACCACACATGGGACTTAGCAAGACAATGATGTGAAAGCACAAATGAGGTCCCTTTTAAATCCTATGTACTAAACAATTTTTTTTCATTAAGCAGTCCCCAAAGTAGCAGTAGCAATAATGATAGTCTTACCCAATCAAGGCGCTGCATGGAAATAATTTTAATACCCGTTTTGTTTCCTTTTTATGGAGCCTGAGAAGGCACTGCATTTCCCCCTTTTTCTTTGGCTGAATTGGTTTAATACCTGAGTTTTAATTCAAAGGATCACCACAGAGCTGAAAAAAATTATACAGAAATTAATGTGTATATCATGACACCACTATCTTATTGTTCTTCAATTTACTGTTGTTTCCTAAGACTTTAACACACAGAGTACACTAAAAACCTTCTTCCCTGCTATGATAGTTTGTTCTATAGCCCCTCAAAGGTCTGATGATCTGTGTAGGGCTGTCTCAGCACTGAAATTGTTCCGTGTTCTAAGGGCTCACCTAGCTCTGGAATCCCTTGTTCTAAGTACCCCTCCTATCTCTGACACTCTTCCATGTCTACTCCCAAGCACAACATCTCTGTGCTAAGGTGTCCTGACAATTTGTGTTCACAGGCTCTGCCTATCTCCCACTTTCTGTGTTATAGGGTCCCCTGAACGCCTAGCTCTGATACTGTAGGTTCTAAGACCCCACCCAGCTCAGGCATTTTGGATTCGAACCTCCCTCCCAGCTCACAGATGCTTCCTTCTAAATGCTCTCCCAGCTCTGCTATTCTGGCCTCTCTGGGTGCCACCTGCATATATTCCCATTCAGAGGCAGGACTGCCCTCCAGCTCTCCCATTCTCTATTCTAAGCTCTCTCGTCTCCAACATTCTCTTCTGAAAGGCACCTCCAGGCTAGACATCTAGAATCTTCCCTGGTGTTACATCATAGGGATTTTTTCTTTTCATTTCTTAGTAATACAGTATTTTTTTTGCAAGACAATTGGGGTTAAGTGACTTGCCCAGGGTCACACAGCTAGTAAGTGTCAAGTGTCTGAGGCCAGATTTGAACTCAGGCCCTTCTGACTCTAGGGCTGGTTCTCTATTCACTGCACCACCTAGCTGTCTTGTAATATAGTATTTTAAAAGGATAACTGGTATCCCCTTTAAAACCCACATTTATAAAACCTTATTTTTAAGGATCAAATACAAAATGCTCTGGCATTTGAAGCACTTCATACCCTAGCTCACTCCTACATTTCCAGTCTTCTTAAACCTTACGCTCTAATACGTACTCTTTGAACCAGTGACCCTGGTGTCCTGACTGTTCCACCAATAAGACCCTCCATTTCCTGGCTCTATTCATTGTTTCCGGCTGTCCCTCATGCCTGGAACACTCTCTCTCGTCTGCTCTGACTACTGACCTCCCTGGCTTCCTGTAAGTCACAACTAAAATACTACCTTCCACAGGAAGCTTCCCCAACCCCTCTTCATTCCAGTGCCTTCCATCTGGGCATTATTTCCTATTTATCCTGCATAAAACTTGCTTTGTACATGGGTTTACATGTTGTCTCCCCCAATAGATTTTAAACTTCTTGAGGGCAGAGACTGTCTTTTGCCTCTTTTTTTATTCTCAGGGCTTAACACAGTGCCTAATGCACAGAAGGCATTTAATGAATGTTTACTGATTGATTTTCAACTCCTTTTTCATTACTACTACTAATAATATCAATAACATTCTTACCAGAAGAAGGTACTGCATAGGATTACTTTTTTGCCTGTTTTTTCCATATTTTAGAGCCACAGAAGGCACAGCATTTCCCTCTTCACTCTTTAGTTGTATTGGACAAATAAATACCTGAGTTTTAATTCAAAGGTTCACCACTGAGCTGAAATGAATTATATGGAAATTAACGTTACATATCATTGTATGATTATACTTTCTAATTATTTTCAATTTTCTTGTACTTCCCAACACCCTAACCCACTAAGCACATTAAAAAAAGCTGTTCCTCAGTAGGATATTTTTTGTTGTAAAGCCCCTCCAAGGTCAGATCTATGTTCTAAGGGCTGTCCTGTTGATGACATTCTTTTGTTGTAAGATCACTCCTACTTCTGATATTCCTTGTTCTAAGGGCTCACCTAGCACTGCTGTTCCTTGTTCTAACTACCCTCTTAGCTCTAACATTCTCTTCTCTATGCAACTTGCAGGCCTTTCATTCCTCTCTGCTAAGGTCTGACAATTTGTATTGACAATACTTTGACCATCTCCCATTTTGTGAATAATGTTGGGGTTTTTTGGGGGGGTTTAGTCATGTCAGGTGTATCCAACTCTTTGTGACCCCTTTTGAGATTTTCTTGGCCAAGATACTAGAGTGGTTTGCCATTTCCTTCTCCAGCTTATTTTACAGCAGAGGAACTGAAGCAAACAGGGTAAAGTGACTTTTGCCTAGTGTCATACAGCTGGGCAACAGGGTCAAAGACCTGTTTGAGGCTAGATTTGTACTCAGATTTTCCTGATTCCAGGCCCGGAGCCCTACCCACTGTGCCACCTAGCTGCTCCTTTAAGTACACATGTATGGTCTGAGAATAATAAGGCTGAATAATAAGCCCCCCCTGCCCAACCCTCACCTCTGATATTTGAGGTTCCAGGGCTCCATCCAGCCCCAGCATTCTGGATTGTAAGATATCTTCCAGATCAGAACAGCTATGTTCTAAAGGCTCTCTCAGATCTGATATTCTGGCTTCTATGGCTACTGCTTATTCTACCATTCAGAGCCCAGCACTCCCCAGCCTACACATCCAAGGTTCTAAGGGCCCTCCCAGGGCTATCATTCTTTGATCTGAGGTCTCATCCTTTTCTAATATCCGAGGTCAGTTTTTTCCCCCCACTTCACTGCACATGGGACTTAGCAAGACAGTGATCTAAAACAGGCCTGCCACAACCTGCAGCCCGAATATCCTCTACATTTTTCATGGGCCATCCAAAATTCTTTGGTTGTGCCACAGGTGGCTGGTAGGCCTGATCTGAAAGAATCAATGCTCTCTTTTAAATCCTATGTATTAAACACTTTATTTTTCTTTCATTAAGCAGTCCCCATAGTAGCAAAAGCAATAACAGTGGTCTTACCAAGTCAAGGCACTGCATGGAAATAGTTTAATACCCGTTTTGTTTCCTATTTATGGAGCCAGAGAAGGCACTGTATTTCCCCCTTTCCTCTTTGGCTGTATTGGATTAATACCTGAGTTGTAATTCAAAGGATCACCACAAAGCTGAAATGAATTATATGGAAATTAAGGTTACCTATCATGGTATACTTTCACTTTCTTATTGTTGATAAATTTACTGGTACTTCCCAAAATCTTCATCCACTGGGCACATTAAAAAACAAACTCTTTTCCTCAATATGTTATCTGTGTTCTAGAGGTCAGAAGATCTATGTTCTAAGGACTAACTCATCTCTGACATTCTGTGATTTTTAATGCCAATCTTATTTCTGATGTTCTGTGTTCTAAGGTTCTCCTAGCTCTAATGTCTCTTGTTCAAAGCGTTCTGACATTCTCCTTTCTATGCAACAATCAGGACTGACATTCAGAGTGCTAAGACTGCCTGGGTTCTGACAATTTGTGTTCTCATCTCCTATTTTCTTTGTTATAAGGGTCAACTCTGTCTCTCCACCTCTGACATTCCAGGTCCTTGGGCCCCATCCAGCTCAAGTACTGTTTTTATTTTTTAATTGTCACTTATTTATTTTTAAAACTCACATTTTTAAGATTTGAGTTCCAAATTTTCTCCCTCTCTTCTACCCCTCCATTAAGAAGGCAAGCAATATGTTATCAATTATACATGTAAAGTCATGCAGTATGAATAATGGCGGTCTTACCAAATCAAGGCACTGTATGGAAATAATTTTAATACCCGTTTTGTTTCCTATTTATGGAGCCTGAGAAGGCACTGCATTTTTCCTTTCCTGTTGGCTGTATTGGTTTAATACCTGAGTTTTAATTCAAAGGATCACCACAGAGCTGAAAGAAATTATACAGAAATTAATGGTGTATATCTTGGCAAAATTTCACTTTCTCATTGTTTTTAAATGTCCTGCTTCCCGATATCTCAACTCAATGTGTACACTAAAAAGAAACACCTCCTCCAATAAGATATTGTTTGTTCTAGAGCTCCTCACAGGTCAAAAGATTTATGTTTTAAGGGCTGCCCATCTCTTACATTCTGTGATTTTAAGGCCACTCTTACATCTGAAATTCTCTTTTCTAAGGGCTCCTCTAGCTCTTACATTCTCCTCTCTATCTCTATCCAGCTTCCAGGCCTGACATTCTCTGTGCTAAGGTCCCTAGACTCTTGACGGTTTGTGTTCTCAGACTCTCATCATCTCCCACTTTCTGTGTTACAGGGTCCCTTGAACACCCACCTCTGATATTCCAGGTTCTAGGGCCCCACCCAGTTCAGACATTCTGCATTTGAACCCGCCTCCCAGATCACAGATGCTTCCTTCTGAATGCTCTCCCAGCTCTGCTATTCAGGCCTCTCTGGGTGCCCCCTGTATACACTGCCATCCAGAGGCAGGGTGGCCTCCCACCCCAACATTCTCCTTTCAAAAGCAGCTCTCAATTTAGCATCTAGCATCCTAGCCTCTTCTGACATGCTAGGGATTTTTTCTTTTCCTTTCCTAATATTTATTACATTATGCTGCCTATGTTTCTTAGTAACACATTATTACTTTTAAAATTTAATGCCCCAAAACAAAAAACAAAACAAAAGGGGCAGCTAGGTGGTGCAGTGGATAGAGCACCGGCCCTGAAGTCAAGAGGACCTGAGTTCAAACCCGGCCTCAGACCAAATACTTGACACTTACTAGCTGTGTGACTCTGAGCAAGTCACTTAACCCCAACTGCCTAAAAACAAACAAACAAACAAAAACAAAAAAACTTAATGCCTTATTGTTTTCAACAGATTGCTCATTCATTATCCAATAACGGCCATTTCAAATGCAGACTTACCAGAACAAGGCACTGCATGGGACTATTTTTTGCCTGGTTTTCCTTATTTTAGAGCCATAAAAGGCACAGCATTCCCCCCCTTTTTCTCTTTGGCTATATTGGTTTAATACCTGAGTTTTAATTCAAAGTTCACCACAGAGCTGAAATGAATCGTATAGAAATTAAAGTTACATATAATGGCATAATTTCACTTTCTTATTGTTTGTAAATTTACCAGTACTTCCCAAAACCTTAACCCACTGAGCACATTAAAAAACAAACAGAAGAACTTTCCCCACTATGATATTGAATATTCTTTAGAACAGCCCCTCACAGGTCAGAATATACACATAGCAGGTGCTTAATAAATGTTTATTGATTTATTGGGAAGATCTATGTTCTAAGGGCCTCATCTATGACATTTTGTAATTTCAAGGCCACTCTTCTCACGTGCTGCGCTCTAAGGATTCTCCTAGAGCCAGTTCTCTCTTATCTCTTGTTCAAAGTGCACTAGAGGTTCTGACATTGTCTTCTCTATACAGTTCCCAGGCCCGACATTCTCTGTGCTAACATCTTCTTAGCTCGGCCAATTTGTGTTCTCAGACTCTATCTCCCATTTTCTGAATAATAAGCCACCCTGTCCCTGCCCTCAACTCTGCTATTTCAGGTTCTAGGGCCTCACCTTCTTCAGGCATCATTGACTGTAAGACACTTCCTAGCTCAGAACAGCTGTTCTGCATTCTATGTGTATTCCCAGCCTGACATTTTGTGTGCCTAGTCTCCCTGAGCTCTGAAAATCGATGTTCTCAGACTCTGGCCACCTCCCACTTTCTGTGTTTTAAGATCCCCCAAACCCTCACCTCTGATATTTAAGGGTCTAGGGTTCCATCCAGCTCCAGCATTCTGGATTCTAAGATATCTTCCAGATCAGAACAGCTATGTTCTAAAGGCTCTCTCAGATCTGATATTCTGGCTTCTATGGCTACTGCCTATTCTACCATTCAGAGCCCAGAGCCCTCCCAGCACACAAATTCTCTAAACCGTCTCCCACATTTAAAGTTTTGAGGTTCTAAGGACTCTCCCAGCACAGTCATTTCATTCTTTGTTCTGAGGTCTCACCCTTTTCTGATATCTAAGGTTTTCATTTATTACTTTTCATTATATTCCATTACAAAGACAATGATCTAAAAGAGCCAATGTTATCCCCTTTTAAGTCCTATGGACTACACGCTATATTTTGCTTTCATTAAATAATCCCCATAATAGCAAAAGCAATAATAGCAGTCTTACCAAATAAAGGCACTGCATATATTACCCGGTTTTTTTCCACTTTATGGAGCCTGAGAAGGCACTGCATTTCCCCCTTTTCCTCTTTGGATATATTGGTTTAATACCTGAGTTTTAATTCAAAGGATCACCACTGAGCTGAAATGAATTATATAGAAATTAATGTTGTATGTTGTGGCATAATTTCACTCTGTTTTCAAATTTACTGGTCTTTCCCAATACCTTAACCCACTGGGCACATAAGGAAAAATGCTTCCTCCACATGACATTGTTTATTCCAAAGCCCTTCACATGTCAGAAGATCTATGTTCTAAGGGTTGCCCCACCTGTGATATTCTGGTATTTTAAGGTCACTCCGACTTGATACTCTCTGTTCTAAGGGCTTCATGAGCTCTGTTATCTCTTGTTCAAAGTGCCTTCCTAGCTCTGCCATTCTCCTGTCCAAGACTACTCACAGGCCCAATGTTGTGGTGCTAAGATGCCCCAGGCTCAGTAATTTTGTCTTCTCAGACACTCACCATCTTCCACTTTCTGAGTTATAGGGTCCCCTGAATGCCCACCTCTGATATTACAGGTTCTAGGGCTCCACCCACCTCAGATATTCTGGATTCAGACACACCTCCCAGCTTACAAATGTTATGTCCTAAAGGCTCTGCCAGATCTGACTTTCTGGATTCTTAGAGTTTCATTCCAAGTTTCAACATTGAGAGGCAAGACTGCTCTCCAGCTCTCAAATTTGCTATTTTAAGCTCTTCTCTACCTCCAACATTCTCCTTTGAAAAGCACCTCCCAGTGTGGATATCTACAATCTAAGGTCCTATCAACTTCTGACATGCTAAGGATTTTGTCTTTCTATTTTTCAGTGTTTATTTGTGTGTGTGTGTGTGTGTGTGTGTGTGTCTGTGTGTGTATATTGTAGCATAGTAATTGCAAAGACCATATGCATATGGTATCTGTTTTAACACCTGTGAATTTAACATCTTATTATTTTCAACAAAGATTCCTCATCATTATCCAATTATTGTAATGTCAGTTGCAGACTTACCAGATCAAGGCACTGTATGGGATTATTTTTTTGCCTGGTTTTCCTTATTTTAGAGCCACAAAAGGCACAGCGTTTCTCTCTTCGCTCTTTAGTTGTATTGGACAAATAAATACCTGAGTTTTATTTCAAAGGATCACCACAGAGCTGAAATGAATTATATAGAAATTAATGTTGCCTATCATGGCATAATTTCTCTTTCATATTGTTTTTCAATTTATTGGTATGACTCACTGAGTATATTACAAACAACTCATTCCTGGCTATGATATTATTTCTTCTAAAGCTCTCCAAGTCAGATATATTCTAAAGGCCATCCTGTCACTGATATTGTTATTTTAATGCCATTCTTACTTCTCACAGTCTATGTTCTGATTTCCCCTCCCCTCCATGCCCTACTGGTTCTCATGTTCTCCACTCTATGCCTATTCCTAGGCATGATATTATCTGTGCTAAGGTCCCTAGACTGACAATTTGCTTCTCAGACTCTCATCATCTCCCACTTTCTGTGTTATAGGGTCCTTTGAACACCCACCTCTGATATTCCAAGTTCTAGGGCCCCACCCAGCTCAGACATTCTGCATTTGAACCCGCCTCCCAGATCACAGATGCTTCCTTCTGAATGCTCTCCCAGCTCTGCTATTCTGGCCTTTCTGGGTGCCCCCTGCCATTCAGAGGCAGGATGGCCTTCCAGCACTCTCTCCCACCTCAACATTCTCCTTTCAAAAGCAGCTCCCAACTTAACATCTAGCATCCTAGCATCCTCTGACATGCTAGGGATTTTTTTTTCCTTTCCTAATATTTATTACATTATGCTGCCTATGTTTCTTAACAACAATATTACTTTTAAACTTTAATGCATTATTGTTTTCAACAGAGTCCTCATTCATTATCCAATAATGACCATTTCAATTGCAGACTTACCAGAACAAGGCACTGCATGGGATTATTTTTTGCCTGGTTTTCCTTATTTTAGAGCCATAAAAGGCACAGCATTCCCCCCCCCTTTTTCTCTTTGGCTGTATTGGTTTAATACCTGAGTTTTAATTCAAAGGTTCACCACAGAGCTGAAATGAATCGTATAGAAATTAAAGTTACATATAATGGCATAATTTCACTTTCTTATTGTTTGTAAATTTACCAGTACTTCCCAAAACCTTAACCCACTGAGCACATTAAAAAATAAAACAGAAGAACTTTCCCCACTATGATATTGAGTGTTCTTTAGAACAGCCCCTCACAGGTCAGAAGAGCTACATTCTAAGCATGCCCCATGTCTGTGATTTTCAGATCATTCCTACTTCTGACCTGTTCTATTCTATGTGCTCTTCTAGCTCAGATAGTCTCCTCTCTATGCATACACTTAGGCTTGACATTCTGTGTGCTAAGCTCTCCAGGGTTCTGTGTTCTAAGATTCAGACTATCTCCCACTTTCTAGGTTGGAACATATCCCATACCCTACCCCTGACACTCCAGGTTCTAGGGCCCCATTTAGCTTTAGGCACTCTGGATTCTAAAATGCTTCCCAGGTCATAAATGCTAGGTTGTAAATGTATAGCGGGGCCTTCCACTTTGGCCCCTTCCTACTCTGCCGTTCAGGGTCAGGACTTCCTTCACTGCTCTCTCCCACTTCTAATCTGGACTACCAAATCTACCTCCCAGCTCAGACAGTGGATTATTTAAGTTCACACCTCCTCTGACATGTTAGGAGCTTTGTCTTTTCATTTCTTAATGTTTATTTTATTACACTACATATCAGTCATACAGTCAATAAACATTTATCAAGTGCCTACTGTGCTATGTGCCAGGTAGTGGTAAAGGGTTGGGGATACAAGAGGCAAAAACCAGTTCCTTCCCTTAAGGAGTTTACAGTCTAACTGGGGTGTCTAGACACTAAGCAATCTGCTATGTACAAACAACTTTATACATAATAAATAAGAAATAATTAAGTGAGGGGAAACCCTGGAATTAAAAGAGGCTAAGAAAGGCTTCCTGTAGAAGACAGGATTTTAATTGGGATTTAAATAAAGCCAGGGAAGCAGGAGACTAGGAAAAGAAAGCATTCCAGGCACAGAGGACAGCCAGAGCCAGAGAAAATGCTCAGAGTCATGTCTTGTTCATGGAACTACCAGGAGACCAGTGTCACCAGATTGAAGAGTATATGCTGGGGACTAAGGTATAAAAAATACTGGGGCAGGGAGGGGAGATTATGAAGGGCTTTGGACGTGAAACAGGATTCTGTGTTTGATTCTGGAGGTGATAGGGACCCACTGAAATTTATCAAGCAGGAGAGTGACATGGTCATACCTGAGAATTACCACAGACGCTTTTGGTAGCTGAATAGAGGATGGTTTGGAGTGGGAAGAGACTTAAGGCAGCCAACCATCAAACTATTGCAATAGTCCAGGCTTGAGGGGATAAGGGTCTGCACCAGGGTGGTGGCAGAGTCAGAGGAAAAAAGGACATGTATTTGAGAAACACTGCAAAAGTGAAATTGATAGGCCTTGGCAATGAATTGGATTGGGGAGGGGGGGGAGAAGGAAGAGTCCAGGATGACTCCAAGGGTTTGATGCTGAGGGATTGGAAGAATGGCATTGCCTCCTACAGTAATAGGGAAGGTAGGAGAAGGAGGAGTTAGGAGGAAGGATAATCAGTTCAGTTTTGGACATGTTGAATTTAAGATGTCTACTGGACATCCGCCTGTCCTATCAATACAGTATTTTAAAAGCATAAGAGGTGTCCCTTTTGAAATTTATGTATTTAACACTTTATTATTTTCAACAAAGACTCATCATTCATTACCAATTATAGTAATATGAATAGCAGTCTTACCAGATAAAGGCACTGAATGGAATTACTTTTTTGCCCGTTTTTTTTCTTTTATGGAGCCAAATAAGGCACTACACATTGTCACCAATTCCTTTTGGCTGTTAGTTCGGTCCCTGAGTTTTAAGACAGAGCTGCACCACCTCACTGAAATAAATTATATTGAAAATTAATGTTGACTATTTGCCATAAACATACTTTGTAGTTGTTTTTAAAATTTACTTGTTGGTCCCAACATACTGACCCACCAAGCACATTAAAAAGAAAAATATCCTTTCCCACTACAGCATTATTTCTTTTAAAGCCCCACACAGGTCAGAAGTTCTATACTCCCAGGCTCATTCCATCATTGTTATTCTGTTATTTTAAGGCTCCTGACATTCTCTGCTCTATGTGTTGTCCTAGCTCGCACATTTTCATAGGCTCTGACCGTCTCCTTCTTTCTGAGTTCTGGTATTTTAAATTTTATTCTATCACAACACATATGTATCTTAAAATAATGATTTAAAAGGCAAATGATGTCCCTTTTATGTCCTATGTACTTTTTTTTCCAATAAATACTCTCCATCATCAATAATAATATCAATAGAAATCTTATTGGATCTAAGCATTGCATGGAATTACTTTTTTTTTTTTGTAGGGTGTTTTGTTTTAGCTACATAAGGCAGTATATTTTCACCTTTTCTCTTTGGCTCTGTGGTTCAGTACCTGATCTTAATTCAGAGCATCACTTTTGTGCTGACATGATATTGAAACATTTAGTTGCACAGCATACCATATACATTTTAATTATTTTACAAATTAACCTGATTATTCCATTATTTTCATCCACTGAACACCCCTCCCCCCCCAAAAAAAAGAGACAAAAGACAAAAAAATCTCCCTTCCCAGCTTTGGGAAGTGTGTTCTAAAGCAGAGGTGTCAAACTTAGGCTAGCAAAACTCCTGAGCACAGCCACAAAGGTCAGTATGTGGTTAGCAGGAACTCATTTTCATGTGAGTTTGATACCATCCTCTAAAACACCTTACAAGTTTGGGGATCTGCATTCTAAGTTTTCTCCCAGCTCTGACTTTCTATGGTCTAGGAACTCTCCTACCTGTAATATCCTAGTTCTAAGCACCTTATCTGGCTGACATTCCCTTCTTTCTGACTAAACTTAAGACTTAAATTCTATGATCTAAGCTCCCCACTCAGACAATGTGTGTTCTCAGGCTCTAACCATCTCACATTTTGTGTTATAACTTTCCTCCTACCTCTAGTATTTCAGATTGTAGGGCCCTACCCATCACATGAATAATTGATTCTAAAACAACTCCCAGCTCAAATATTCCCTTTTAAGTACCCTCCCAGGTCTGATAGTCTGACTTCTTTATCCACTCCCTGTTCTGACATTAGGTGCCTAGATGGGTTTCTCAGCTCCAAAATTCTACATTTTAAGTTCTTTCTTCCCTCCCTTAAAAGGTTACTCCCAGCCCAGTCATTCTTGGTTCTAAGACAGGGAACAAGCATTTATTAAATATCTACTATGTGCCACTCTGCTAAGTGCTAGACAGACATTTTCTCATTTTATTCCATTTGATCCTCACCACCTACCCGTGAGGTAGGTGCTATTATTAGTCACTTGGAGGAAATTGAGACAGATATTGTGACTTTCCCAGGGTCACAGATAGAAAGTATCTGAGGCTGGATTTGAACTCAGGCCTTCCTGATTCCATCTAGTTGCCTCATTTCTAATAATCTAAGGATGCTCTCTATCTTGACGTTCTATTTTCTAAGTTCCAATCTTGCTCTGACATAATGGGTATTTTTCTTTCTATCGATTTATTTTTTACACTTTTTCTTAGCAATAAAGTGATTTAAAAGAATGGTGTCATTTTAACGTCCTGTGGATTTAACACCTCATTTTTTTAACCAATAAATATTGCTTCTCCATTACCTATAATAGTAATATCAGTAGTAGTTTCCCCAAATTAGGACACTGCCTGGAAATTACTTCTTTGGTTTTTGTTTTTGAGCCAGAGAAGGCACCACAGACCTTCCTATCCTTTCTGGCAGTGTGGTTAAGGAGCCAAGTTTTGATTCAGAGCACCCCAAATGTGCTGATATAAATTCCATTTAAAAAAGTTGCAGAGATAACCACAAATGTCTTTTATTATTTTTAAAATTAACCTATCAAAAGCAGCAGTTTTAAAAGATCTCTTCCCAACTACCCCAGCTCTGACCTTTGAAGTTCTAATACCCTTCCTATCTCTGGCATTCTGTGCTTTTAAGGTCACTCCTACTTCTAGCATTCTTCATGCTGAAAGCTTTCCTAGCTCTAACATCCCATGTTCTAAATGCCCTTCCAGCTGGGAAATATTGCATAATAAATTTTCTACCAATTTTAACTTTCTTCTTTGAAAGGCACCTCCCAGCCCATTCTCTGTATTAGGGCCCAACCTGCTCTGGTCTTCTAGGAATTATTTTCTTCCACTTCGTATGTATCTTAGTAATACAGTATTTTAAAAGCACAAATGTTGTCCCTTTCAAATCCTATGTACAAAACACCTTATTTTTTTCTATAAATGCTTACCAAAAATAGTAATATTAACAGCCATTTTATCTGATCAAGGCATTGAATAGAATTACTTTTTTGTCTTTTGAGCCAGATAAGGTACTGTATTTGCTTTTTGGCTGTGAGGCTTAGGACTCAAGTTTTAATTCAGAGCACCATCACTATGCTGTCAGAAATTTCACTGAAATAAATGTTCTATCATATACTTTATTATTTTTAAATTAACCTGTCCTGATTACCTTCAGCAAATGAACACAAGCAAAAAAAAATCCTCAGCTATGATAATTAAGGTTCCTCCCAGATATACATGTCCTAAAGTCTCTCTCATCAATGATAATCTATGATTCTACTTCTGACACCTAATTCTAAAGGCTTTTCCCCAGGTTTGACACCTCCCTTCTTTTATGTACCCTCCTAGCACTGACAGTCTCCTCTCTGTGGCTACTCCTAAGCTCACCATTCTGTGTTTTCAAGTCCTACTTGCTTTTGACAATTTGTTTTCTCAGGCTCTCACTGTTTTATGAGGTCCTCCCTGCCCACTTCTGATATTCCAAGATCTAGGGTACCATTCAAGTAGGGCATTTTTAATTCTAAGACACCTCCCAACTCAGAAATGCTAAGGTCTAAGTGCTTTGCAGGTCTACTATTCTGGCTTCTATGTTTACTCCCAGTTCTGACCTAAATCCAGACTGTACTCCCAGCTTTCCATTTCCATATTCTATACTCTCCCATCCCCAATATTGTCCCTTAATAGTTACATCCTAGTCAGACATTCTATACTCTAAAGATCCTTCCAGGGCTGACATTCTTTGTTCTAAGGCATCATCTAGTTCTGACCTACACCTGTTTTTGGTCCTTTTCATTTATTTAATTTTCTGACAATACATATTTCTTAGTAATCCAATGATCTTAACATCGCAATTATTCTTTTAAATCCCTTGGCAACCCCTCCCCATACAGTAACTTCATTACCAATGACAATTTCAATCTTCCCTGATTAAGGCAGTGTCAGAAATTAAGATTAGTAGCCAGTGTTGACGCTGCTTTTACTTTTTCTCTCCTGTGTGGTTCATACTTAAGTTTTAATTCAGAGCATGAACATTGTGCTAATACAGATTATATCGAAATGTTGTGTATGATGCCACATACTTTATTTTTACAAAAATTAAGCAATTCCTCCCAATACAAAAAAAAAGACTCCTTCCCAACTACAATATTGTGTTCTTAGGCTCCTCCTACTTCTATGTTCTAAGAGCCCATCCAGCTTTGACATTCTGTGGCTTTAAGGCCATTCCTAAATCTGACACACTCCTGTCTAGGGCTATGCCCAAGAAGAACATTCTCTATGCCAAGGGCCCATGGGGACAATTCAGGTTAGCACAAAGACCATCCATCACAGGCCAAGCACTAAATCAAATGAAATATTTGTTAAAGGCTTAGCACAATACCTGGCACGCAGCAAGTGCAAAATAAATACTTTGTTTCCTTCCAACTCTGATCATCTCTCACTAGCTGTGTTGTAAGGTCCCTTCATATCAGTTAACAGTCCCTGTACTGAGATGACAACTACTACTACTACTACTAAGACTACTACTACCGTCTCCCAACAAGGCACAGCACAGAATTATTTTTCTGGTTGAAGTTTGTTTTTTAAGCCCTATAAGGCACCTCATTTTCTCCTTTCCTCTCTGGCTATGTGGTTCAAGAAGAGTCTTTAATTCAGAGCATCACCACCATGCTGATATAAACAATACTGTTTTTAAAATTTATAATACTAATACTTTGGCCCACTGACCAAATTCCTCTCCAGCTATCAGTCTACACAAGCCTCTCCCAGTGCTGCCATTGTGGTTTTAAGGCCACTCCTATTCCAGAAATGGAGCTGGAAGGGCTCTCCTAGTCTGACATCCCTGCTCCAAGTGCCGCTGACATTCTCTTGATGGCTATTCCCAGGCCTGACATTGCATGTACCCAGATCTCACTGATAATTTGTGGTCTCTAATTCTGATCATCTCCCACTTCTTGTTACAAGGTTTGTACTACCTGATGTTCCAGTTTCTAGGGCCCCATTTAGCTCAGGGATACTCATTTAAGAGGCCTTCCAGTTTGGACACTGTGTATTTAAAGGTCCATAGCATTCTGACAATTTACGTGGCCACTTGCAACTTCTTGTTTTCACCTCCTTCCACTGACGTTCCTATAGGCCCCCTTCCAGCTCATACAATCTGGATGGCAAAATGCCTCCCAGCTCATAGATTCTATGTTCTAAATGTCCTCTCAGTTCTGATAGTCTGGCTTGGGTGTGTACTCTGTTGTCTCTGGAATGCCATCCTAGCTCTGAAAATTCTCTCCAAGGTCCAACATTTTCCAAATGAAGTTTTTGTCCTTTGCATTTTTTTGTAAAATAATGCTGCAATGATTTTAAAAGCACAAATGGTGGCCCTGATAAATCTTGTATACTTCTTTTCCCAATAGATACAGCAAATTTGCTACCAATAAAATGAAAATTCAACAGCTACCTTACCCAATCAAGGTAGTAAACAGAATTTTATTGGGTACTCTGATGAAGCTCTTTATTTTTACCTCTCCCCTC